TGAGAGAGAGCACGAGAGGGAAGAGGGTCAGAGGGAGAAGCAGACTCCCTGCTGAGCAGGGAGCCTGATGTGGGACTCGATCCGGGGACTCCAGGATCATGACCTGAGCCGAAGGCAGTCGCTTAACCAACTGAGCCACCCAGGCGCCCTGTTCATTTCTTTTTCTTTCAGCTTTTTATTTTGACATACATTCGCACTTCAGAAAGCTGCCCTTGGCCACTCTGCAGCATTTGGCAGTCTTCACCAGTTTTTATTTAAATTTTCTCTTGCTTTGTTGTAGAAGAAACCATTCTTTCTTGGTTTTTCACCAGCCACCACTCATCTTAGCTTCTTGGCAGGATGTTCATCCTCTGCACCCCCCCTTAAATGCAGCTGTTCCCAGTTCCAGCCTGGATCCCCCTCTTGATAGACTTACCGGGGGATTTTACTCATACCCTGGTTTCACCTGCTGCCAGTGCTCTAAACTCCCTAGTCTGCTTCTGCAGCTCAGATCTCTCTCTCTTTTTTTTTAATTTTATTTGAGAGAGAGAGAGTGCCCATGAGGTTGGGGGGAGAGGCAGAGGGAGAGGGAGAAGCAGACTTCCCCGCTGAGCATATGTATTTATTCTTTTCAAAACAGAATTATGCAATACTATTGTCTAACAGCTTAGTTTTTTTTACTTAATATAACATGTCAGTATATTGAGAGCTACCTGAGATTGGTATAGAGTAGCAATACACCATAATTTATTTAATAATTCCCCATTGATGGATAATGAGTCATGCTGCAGTGAACATTACTATACATATTATTTTTGCCAGTGTTTCATTGCACAGATTATTGGAAGTAGGATTATGTACATTTTAAATAGTTCTGAGTCCTTTCAGTTGCCCTTCAGAAAGATGGCACCTTTCTTTTGTTTCTTGTCTTTTTCTTGTATGAGAATTTTTTATTTTTTTTATTACTAATGATGTACTATATGTTGGCTAACCGAAGATGGCACCTTTTTACAAAAATCTCTTACTGTTGCAGTGTCAGAGGCCTCCCTTGCCAATCTTAGGTATTTATTAATCCTTCAACAGTTTTCATTTTTTGCCAACTTAATAGGCAGACCCTATATGGTGTTATGAAATTTCAGACCAGAATACTTTTTATGCCTAGGTCTGTAACTGTCTTCAACATTTTCTCAGTCTTGTTCCCTGTTTGGATTAGGTGACTTTTAGCTCTTGAACAAGCAGGATGCTGGGGAAGAGGGTTTCTCTGATTTGTATTTCTCCCGGCAGGAAAAGCTTCTTAAGACTCAGTGTAGTCTGAAGGACAAGATGAAGAAAGCCATATATTTTCAGGACATGGAAATGAAGAACATTACCAAGTGGAAGGTAACAGCAGAAGCCATTGGGCATTTCTTGCCCCCGAGGCCCTTTGGTGTTGTTGGGAATAGTGGTCAGGCTCCTTGCAGATAAGGTGGTAGAACAGGAAGTGTCTCTATTGACCTGCGGTTTTGGGGGATGGGAGTTTCACATACTTTATCCCCATGTCTGTAAGGTAGTGCCCCTCTCCTTCCTAGTTTCCTAAGTATACGCCCTAGGTGGTTGTTGGTTTGGGTCCACGGCATTGTGGAAAGTAAATGGGCTTTGCTTTCAGAGACTAGTTTAGTTGGGAGGCACGCGTGCACATCTAAAGGTTTAATGAAACTAAACTGTAAGTGTTCTGGAGGCTAAACTAAATAATAAATGTGAAAGTATTTTAGTTTAAAAAATATACAAACAAGGCATTGTCATCAGTAGTAGAGACGGAAACGTTACAAAGAATGAACTAATACTATACAGGCTGGTACAAAGAGATTAGCAGAAATCTGGGGAGGGCAGGCAGGGGCTTCCTAGGGGAGGGGTTAGGGTGGAAGCCCCATGGGCTGCTGGGGAGTCTCGTGCACGGAACTGAGGAGCAAGAACAAGGACTGAGCACATCTCCTGTGGCTCTAGGAGAAGATGAAGAATCAGCGAGTGACAATCAGCGCAGAGTTTGCAAAGCTGCACCACTTCCTGGCAGAAGAAGAGCAGCTGTTTCTTCAGAGACTGAGCAAAGAAGAAGAAGAGACGAAGAAGAGACAGAATGAGAACACATTAAAGCTCCATCAGAAAATCACCTCCTTGAAGCAGCTCATCTTAGAGGTCAAGGAGAAGAGCGAGAGCTCCAGCCTGGAGCTGCTTCAGGTGAGACAGGCCGGGGGGGGGTGGTGTGTCTTTAGAGCTACATGTCTTTCCTGGTGAGGGGGTTTCATAGAAGAAATATTTTCTCTCTGTTGATAATTATGATACTACTGTCATTAAAGAATCAAAGATTCACCTTTCAAAGGAAATTAATGGGAAAATTAGGTATGCAGAGCTCAGGTATTATGAGATACCTACGTTCACTTGGGCTAATAGTTTGCGTAGAATCTGAAGCACATCTAAGACTTGTCCATTCATCTTATTTGTACATTCATGATTTGTTAAAATAGTAAAACAAAGCAACCTAAAATCACAAAGCAGGTAACTGTATCAACAGTTTTTAAGATAAATTTATCTTTCTTACTAATTATTTTTAAAGATTTTATTTTATTTTATTAAAGATTTTATTTGAGAGAGAGAGACAGAGAGAAAATGAGCAGGGGAAGGTACAGAGGCAGACGGAGAAGCAGACTCCCTGGTGAGCAGGGAGCCTGATGTGGGACTCGATCCCAGGACTCTGGGATCATGAGCTGAGCCGAAGGCAGACACTTAACTGAGCTGCCCAGGTGCCCTCTTACTAATTTTTAATCATTACAATCATAGCTTGATAATAACTTTGCTCTTAGCCCCAGATTTTGATTGGTATATTCATTCAAATAATTTCTAATATCCAGCAGCCTTTAAAAGGTTGTAATTCTAATTCATTAGCACTTAGGAGGTCTGGCTGACTCATTCAGTAGAGCATGTGACTTGATTTTAGGGTTGAGAGTTCAAGCCCCACATTGGGCGTGGAGCCTAGTAAAAAAAAAAAAAAAAGTAATTCATTAGCACTTAAATTTGGGACTTTTAAGCCAGTTTATTATCCTTCCTTGGAGTTCATCTTTACCTTTATATGCTCAGCAGGTAAGTGTCCTTATAGCTATTTCAGTTTTTGGATAGGATCCAACATTTGTGACCATCTTCTTTTTTTCTGCTGAGATAATTCCTTTGGTCTTAGATTCCTCAGAACCTCTCTTTCTTCCATATGATGTGACTCGAGAGGAAAGAACCATTGAACTATGATTTTTTTTTTTTTTCTTATCAGGAGACAATATTCTCTTCTACCTTTAAGGAAGAGAGATACAGGAACCCACTCGCCAGTTATTTTCAGCAGGAAATTTCTAGCAGGGTGTTACATGCCATCGAAGTGTAATGATTTCCAAGAATTGTCTAGAACTTTCTCAACTTGCTTGAGCCATGAAGTTCCAGTTACATATCTAAATGTAAACTCTAGCAGAATCTTTGAAATAACACATTTAAACAGTTTTGTTCAATATAGGTTTAATATCTGCTTAGAATCTGAAACTTCAAGGAGACACATGAGCTAGCAGAATGCTTACAAAAAAGTCTATCAGCCAGTATGAGGGCAAGGGTAGGTAAATGTTTAAAGAAGATAGAACTGGATCATAGAGTCTCAAGGTCTAAGAGAACTTATTTTACTGATCTGCTCCCCTGTCCATCTATTTTTTCCTTTATTCCTTCATTTTTAGCCTGTAAGTCCCTTCCATTCTTGGAACTATAGACACATCCCCCCCAAAAAATAGTTATTCCTAATTTTTATCTTTTTATTTGAATGTGTTCTTGCACAATACACAGTATTGCTTTGGTTTATGTATTTTTAATTTTTTTTCCTTAGGCACTCACTATGTTTTTAAGATCCATTCCTGTTGCCACATATACGTTGGACCCATATGTCCACCCACCACATTTTGCCAGTTCCTTCTTCCAGTGATGGAAATCCAGGTTGCCCTAATACCATTACCACTAGAAGTAATGGTGCAGTGACATCATTGATATCTGCTCTTCTTGTTTTTATTATTGTTATTTTTTATTAGTTCGTGGGTTTGCTCCGTAGCTCTAGCTCTTTCTCGGCCTCTGGAGCTGGCATGCTTAGCTCATCTCCATTGACCCTTTTTTTTTTTTGCTGGTAAATGTTTTTAAGCTATACTTTCCCCTTTAAATATTACTTGGGTCCATGGATTCAGACAGCATCACTTTTATTGTCATAATACAATAGACATGTTTAAAAACATTTTAAGTATAACGTCCCTAGAGAAAAATGTATAAATCATAAACGTGACAGATTATCACCAAGGGACCCATCCATGAAACCGCCAGCCAAGTCAAGTAATAGAACATGCGTAGCCTGCCTGACGCCCTCCACGTGGCCCAGTCAACACCCCTTCCCTTTTCTGCGAGGCTGTTCTCCCTCCAGACTTTTCACACAGTTTCATCGTGCCTGTTTTTGAGTAAGAGTCTTGGGGTATGTGCTGCTTTTGCTCAACATTATGTTGTGAGATTAGCCCATGTTGTTGTAGATGGCAGTTTGTGCCCATCACTGAGTAGCACGTCCCAACCTGGAGCTATTTTGCTCCCCCAGGGGGCAGTGTTGGAGACCTTTCTGGTTGTCACAATTTGGGGGTGGCTTCTCCCAGCATCTAGTGGGTGGAGGCCGTGGATGCTGCTAAACATCCTACCATTCACAGAACACGCCTCACCTCCAGCTCCCAGGAAAGACCTATCCAGCCCCAAATGTTAATAGTGCCGAGGTTGAAAAACCCCACTGTAGAGTATTACATTGTATTAATATACCAAAACATACTATTTACTCTACTGGTAGCAAAATGTGGGTTGTTTCTACTTTTTACTATTACAGAAAAGCAGTCATGAACATGTCTTTTTTGGTGCATTTATGTCCACCTTTCTGTCAGTTGTGTATCTGCAAAAGCATTTCCTAGTCACAGGGCGTACATTGGGTCAGCCTTAGCAGATGATTCCAAATTATTTTCCGAAGTGGTTGCATCAGTTGCCACTGTTACTTGCAGTGTGTGAGAGCTCCAGTCACTCTGTATGCTCAGCCATACTCGTTGTCAGTTCTTTAGTTGCAGCCGTCCCAGATGGTGTGGAATGTTATCTCAGCCCTCAGTCGGCACCCCTGCCCTCCTCCCAAAGGGTAGATTCATTTCCCTAATGACTCATGAGGTTGAGTACTGTTTCATGTGGCAATGAACCATTTTGATACCTTTTTTTTTTAAGCTTTCTTGAGGTATAATGTACATATCTTATAATTCACCCATTTTAAGTGTACTTTTTTTATAACTAAATAAGTGATTTTACCAAGTTGTGGAAACCTTACCAAAGTCCAGTTTTAGAGCATTTCCATCACGCCAGTAAGATAGCTTGGTGCTTGTTTATAGTTAATCTCTGTTGCTGCTTCCAGCCCCAGACAACCTACTTTCTGACTCCATAGATTTCCTTTTCTAAATATATCTATAAACAGAATCATACACTACGTGATTTTTTGTGCATGGAATCTTTCATTTTATAATGTTTCTTAGGCTCATTCATGTTGTAGCATTCATTAGTATTGTATTTATATTCCTTTTTTTATTCCTAAAGAGTATTTTATTATAGAATATGTCACATTTTGTTTATCAGTTCACCAGTTGATGGACATTTGGGTTATCTCCACCTTTTGGCTCTTATGAGTGATGATGCTGATGTGAACATTCGTCTGCCATTCTTTGTCTGGACATACACTTTCATTTCTCTCGGGTAGATAGTAGGAGCAGAATGGCTGGGCTGTATCGTATATTTATATTTAGTTTTTTTAGAAACTGCCAAACTGTTTTCCAAAGTGGCCGAACCATTTTGTATTCCTACCACATCCTCACCAACACTTGTTATTGTCTGTGGGTGAAAGACAATAGGTGGAGAAGTAGGCAAAAACCCAGGAGAGAGTTAGTGTCATAGTGCCAAAGGAGAAAGAGTAGGGTTTCCAGAAAGGGATTGGTTACCACTGTCAAACAGTGCAGAGGGGTCAGGTGGAGAAAAAGACACCGTGTGTTCAATCCACTGGCTTTGGCGGCACGAGATCAGACGTGACATTAACAAAAGCGACCGATAGAGAAATACCTGCTTATAAAGTTGAGTACCAGATCTCGGGAGGAGGGGATGTAACGCGCTTATGTTTTTCTTCTCTTCACAGAATCCAAAAGATGTGTTGACCAGGTATGAGCTGCTGCTTTTTCATGGGGGCCTGAGTGGCGGGGAAACAGGCCTGGGCTCCAGAGAGCAGTCTGGGCACACCTGAGAGTCGGTGGGGAAGGAATTCCAGCGCTCACTTTTGCAAGGGGGAATGGGCGAGCGGTGGTCTGAGCTTTGGGCTTGGAACCTTCAGTGGGAGTTGGGGGCCTTGGCTGCCTGAGTTGTCTCCTAAGAAGAGCAGCCTTCTGTACTTTCCTTAGGAGTGAGAGCCAGGATGTGGACTATTCCCTTGAAGTTCTGACGGTGAAGACTGTGTGCCAGATTCCGATGATGAAGGAAATGCTGAAGCGATTCCAAGGTAAGCAAGAAATCTTTAAAATAAGAGAATAAGCACTGAGAAAACTTTAGAAAGGAAAGAGGAAACAGAACATGCAGCTAGTGGGAGGGTCAGGCAAAATGGTGTTAACTAGAATACATGGGTATATGTTTCATTCAAGAAGCATTTACTTAACACACACCGTGTGTATAAGGTGCTAGTTATACAGAAAGAAAAAGACCTATTTCTAAGAATTCAAGTAAATTGGGCAGACTCCGATCACTTATAACATAGTGGGATCTACTGTTTATCAACGTATGAGTAAAATATTATGGAAGGTCAGAGAAAGAGCTATTGGGGGTGAAGTGGGGAAGTTTCCACACAGAGGTGACATTGTTCTGGGATTTGAGGGATGAATAGGAGTTTGCCAAGTGGAAAATGGAGGTGTACTCGTGTAAGCAGAAGGAGCAGCATGAGCTAAGCTGTGGAGAAAATGGCGGGGTAGGTATCCAGTGTGACTAAACCATAAGGTACTTTGTGGGGAAAGGCAGGAGCTGAGGTTGAGATGGTGAACATAGGAAAGTCTGAAGATAAATTTACTGGATCTCCAGGGAATTGCCAAGGCATGTAGGTGTTGTAAACGCTAGGCAGGTAGTTCTCTCATGCACATCCCTGATGAAGAACCATGTGGTGGATGAAGTAATGGGGACTGGATTTACTCTTCAGCCTGAAACTTAGCTAACTAAAAAACTAAAATAAAACAGACACGGTACATGAAATAACCGTTTTCCCAACCCTGGATATCAGGCAGTACAGGACAAGGAAATGTGAAACAATGCGGTGAGCTGTATGATGGCTCCAGCCTCCAGCCTGAAAAGAGCTTCCAGGCCATTGTGCAGGGGCGGGGAGGGTAGTGGAGGTGAAGCCAGGTTGAGGAATGGAGCGGAGTCCAGGGAGGACTAAGCAGTGAGAGCTTGCAGAGTACTGGACAGAGTACTGGTGAGGAGAGAGCCATCCAGAGGGCGATGATCTGCAGAGGTCCCCCTGAGTATTTAGCAGAGTACTGACCAGCAGATGCTTGTGAAAATCTACCTTAGACTGAGGAAGGACGTTTCCAAAATGATTAGAAAGAACAGTTCCTGGTGCTCCCACAGGGCCCAAACAATGCCTGTTCCTAGCAGCCAGACTAGAAAACTCTTAATTCCTGGGAAAATCTTGCCTCATTAGTGGGGAATAATTAACCCTACACTGAACACTGCTTTGGACCCACGTTATAAATCATGAACACCAGATCCAAAAGGATCAGATTACTTCCAAGTAAATGCATCCCAGGACAAAGCTTAAGATTTTAAAAAATGAGTACCTAACCATGTAAATTCACAATGTCTGGCATCCAGTCAAAGATTACCAGGCATGCAAAAATGTAGGAAAGCATGACCCATAATGAGAATAATCGATTGGTACTGACCCAGGACTGAGCCAGATGTTAGGATAAGCACAGAAGGACTTTAACACACTATCCTATAAAGAAGTATTTGGAGACAGGAAGGTCGAAAAAAGTCCCAGGTCAAACCTCCGGAGATAGAACTACAGTGATTGAGAGGAATACACTGGTTGGGAGTAATAGATGATGAGGTGTTGCAGGAAAAAAGATTATCGAATTTGAAGATGCAGCAGCGGAAACTACAAAATGAAACACACAGGGAAAAACCTTAAACCATGAAAAGAGCCTTGGCGAGCTGGGGGACAATCTCGTGCAGTCTTACATGTGGTGCGTGGGACCCCTGAAATGAGCAGGATGCGGATGAGACAGGAAAAATATCTGAAGGCATAATGGCCCCAGCGCGCCGGGGTGGCTCATTGGGTTAAGCGTCTGCCTCGGCTCAGGTCTTGATCTCAGGGTCGGTCCTGGGATCAAGCCCTGTGTTGGGCTCCCTCCTCAGCAGAAAGTCTGCTTTTCCCTCTGCTCCTCCCTCCCCTGCTCATTTTTTTTTCTCTCTCTCTCTCTCTCTCTCAAATAAAATCTTAAAAAAAATAAAAAAAGAATGTTCCCAGATTTTCCAAATTTGGTGAAGGCCATTAGGTCCACAGATCCAATAAGCTCGACAAGCCCTAAGCACAAGAAATATGAGAGGAACTACACCAAACAGCAGGGTGAAGAGGACATTTTTGATGCAAGAAGAGACAAAGGACATGTTACTTAAGATGGAAAAAAGAGATGTCCCATTTCTCTGAATTTACCAAACTTTTCAGAAATAAATCTCCATTCTACATGAACTCTTTTTTTTTTTTTTTTAAAGATTTTATTTATTTATTTGACAGAGAGATAGAGAGCACAAGTAGGCAGAGTGGCAGGCAGAGGGAGAGGGAGAAGCAGGCTCTCTGCTGAGCAGGGAGCCGGACATGGGGCTCGATCCCAGGACCCTGGGATCATGACCTGAGCCGAAGGCAGCCGCTTAACCGACTGAGCCACCCAGGCGCCCCTCTACATGAACTCTTAACAAAAAACTAAAGAGGGAACAATGCCCAATGCAGCGTACGCAGCCTGCATTATCGTGATACCCAAATCAGACGAAGACATTACAAGAGAAAAGGGCTATATAGATCAGTGTCCTTCATGGACACAGAAGAATTCTGAAGATAATTTTAGCAAACTGAACCTAACATATTTGTAGATAATGCGTCACAACCAAATGGATTTTATTCTAGAAAAGCAGGGTTGGTTTAACATTTGAAAAGTCAGTGTAATTCATCACCTTAGCAAACTAAAAAAAGGAAAACTATATGATCACTTCAGTAGATGCAGAAAAAGCATTTGTCAACACCTAACATCCATTCCCGATTAAAAAAATAGGGCTTGATAAACTAGAGAGACATGGAGAGTCTGGGAGGAGGCCAGGGAGGCAGGGAGGCCAGGGAGGAAGTCAGACCGTTCAAGCGGGGGATGCCAGAGGCCTGAGTGAAGATGGTGGCAGTGGGACGGAGAAGAGGCAAAGAACCTGAGGGGTATTTCAGAGGTGGGACTGATAACCCAACCCGTGACAAATAACCCATCCAGGGTCAGAGGGAAAGAGGAGCCAGATAACCTTAAGATTTTAAGCTGTGAGTGTTCGGGTGGAGTTAGTGCCCTTACAGATCAGAGAACGCAGAAGGCAAGATGTCTGCATGGGAAGGGGTAGGAGTCCCCAGGGGATGCAAGGGGACTTAGGATAGTGGGTTGCATTTTGAGTGATCTGTCAGGGGCCTGTGGAGATGCCCAGTGAACAGCTGGAACCAGTGAAGAGAAAACTTGTTAACAGTACCACCTCCGTGTCCCAGTGCAAAGCACCATCCTGTCCGCCGTCTTGGTCTGGTCCTGATTGAACAAGTCAGAATCTGGTAATGTTTCTTCCAATTTGATGCTGATTGTGAAGACTTGGGGCCGTGAAACAATGAGCTCCCTGTTTTTAGGTCTTAGTCGTTTAGAACAGAAAGGAAATGAAGATTTCACTGTGCTTGAGAGCGCACTCTGGCCTGCCAGGCCCAGCCGAGGATCAGTTGAGAGGCAGTGGGGAGTCTCATCCCTAATGGTTCTTGTTAGGAGACGCTCGGAACTGAAGCTGGAAAAAAGTTTCTGGAGGAGGGTTGGTGGTAAGCTGTCACATTATAAAGATTTTATTTATTTGAGAGAGAGAGAATGAGAGAGAGCACGAGAGGGAAGAGGGTCAGAGGGAGAAGCAGACTCCCCGCCGAGCAGGGAGCCCGATGTGGGACTCGATCCCGGGACTCCAGGATCATGACCTGAGCCGAAGGCAGTCGCTCAACCGACTGAGCCACCCAGGTGCCCAAGCTGTCACATTATAAATCGCCACTCTCATTTTCTCTGCAGTGGCTGTAAATGTAGTTGAAGACACGGCTCATCCCAAGCTTATCTTCTCCCAGGATGGGAGATATGTGAAAAATGGAGCATCGGCCAGTTCTTGGCCATTGTTTTCTTCAGCATGGAGCTACATCAGTGGATGGAGGAACCGTCAGAGGAACGCGCAGTTTGTGGGAAGATTTCAGCACTTACCCTGTGTTTTGGGAGAAAATGTTTTCACTTCAGGGAAACATTACTGGGAAGTTGAGAACCGGGATAACCTGGAGATTGCCGTGGGGGTGTGTCGGGAGGACGTCATGGGGCTTGCTGATGCTTCAGAAATGGGCCCCCGTGTGGGCATCTGGGCTCTCTGTTGGGGTTCCGCTGGCTTTCGGCCCCTGAAAAGCTCTTCTGTAAGTCCTACCAAGCAAGAGCCTGCTCTTAGCCGGGTGGGAGTTTTCCTCGATGCTGGGGCTGGGAGCATCTGCTTCTATGGCGCTGTGGACGGCACGCACCTATACACCTTCTCCTGTCCTCGCGTCTCTCGCCTCCGGCCATTTTTTTGGTTGAGTCCATTAGCATCTCTAGTCATCCCGGCAGCGACGGGTGGGAAATGAGGCTGTTCCTCCCCTGCCCGAGAACCTGTCGCTGTACCCCGGTGCAGGCACATGCACCCCTCAGCCCTCTTCTCTCTCCATACGTACTGGTCCAGGCGACACGTCCATACCGTCCATTCGCTTGGCTCCCTGCGCGTGCTCTGCGTGCACAGGGATGGCGGACCCATTGGTTGCCTTTCCAGCGGCCACTTGCTGCACTTCCCTCCTCCTCTTCTGGTTCTTCTGACGGAACGGTCGGGGAGCACCGTCCCTGGGCTTCAGGGGAAGCAGCCCCACGTGAGGCAGTGCTGGCCAGTGAGCTGGGAGGAGGCATTTTCTAAGGCGCTTCTGGGGATAGATTGTGTAGCTTTAAGGAAGAGGTGTTTGAGGAGACACAGCCCCTCTTGTGATGTCAGCAGCTGTCTCAGGACTGAGGGGAGCACAGTAGCAGTGCACAGGAAGAAGAAACATGGTCTTCGCTGGCATCGCTGGGCTGTTGGAATTTCCTTACCCTGACACTTCGTATTATAGGAGGTGACTGCTCCCTTATTGTATAAGGCAATTCAGGTTGCCTTTTGGTATAGGATTGTCTCACTTTCCCTGAAATTGGACAGCTCTGTAGGCTCTGTTTCTGTTCAGTCATGTCATTCCTCTTCTCCAGGAAGTACTGAGACCTCTCACTTTTCTGGATCAGAAAGTTAAGGAAATCTTCCCTTACTCTGCACTGTGACTCTTCTTTACCTGACCAAGTCTGACCATGAACACCTCAGGTGTTCATTTTGTTACCCATCTGTCAGATTCTTACACACTGTTTATGCAGGATGCTAACGTCACACCTCATATGTTGGGAGACACTCGCTATGTATTCAGACTGTGCTGCTGGCCTCTTCGGTAATGCTCTCCTACGACTCCTGCAGAAGTTCGGTGTGGGAGAGGGAAATTAAAATCCTCTTTCTACAAGGAAGACAATAAACTGTGAGACAATAAACTTCTGTTACGTCAAGCCACCCGGTTTGTGGTTTGTTACGGAGTCTTAGGAAACCAGTACACTTGCCCATCAGGACTTCCTCCAGTATCTGCCTTATTCATTTCCAGTTTTTGGGAAACTCATCACTACCTTTCCTCCATCCTCCTCTGGGGCTGTTGAGCCAGGTTGACTGGTTCTATTATAAAGTCTTGCTCTCTGACTTCAGGTGGGTTCTTTGAGCTGCTTGGTGTGCAACTTTATTTTTTCATCCCTTGACTTCCTTTTACATCTCTGGTGGCAGTGATTCCAAACCATTTCCTCCTTTCTCAAAGCTTCATGAGCCCACCTACGTACCGTGGGGGAGGCAAACTTTACCAGTCTTATGTTTTCAGCTGGGACTCTAACAAAATGTCAGATTAATAAGAGAAAAACAGTTTATTAACACATGCAGCACACACCAAGCAGGAAAAACCTAAAATGAAGAGTAACTCAAAGTGAAGGCTTAGAATTGTGGCTTACATAGTATCTTTAACAAAGAACAATACATTTGTGGAAAAATGACAGGAAAAAGTCAGCCTGCAAAGGGTGGCAGACTGTGGGAAGGTAAATGCATGTGAGGAGACTAATGGAGTAAATGTTTATTTGCAGATTCCTTGTTGGTGCAGTCTCCAGTAAAAGGGGAATTTATATCCTGCCATTTGGCAGGAAAGGGGAGCTTTTTCTGGGTTTGCTGCTCTTAATTGCCTTCAGCTAAAAATGATTTTTATGCCAAAGAGACCTATTTTGGGCTGACACATTCTGGTTTCCTTCATTATTATTAAAGAACTTGCATCTTTTACTGAGAAAAATACTATTCTCTTGCTCTACCTATTTTATTAACATTTTTTTTGCCTCTTTTAAGTCTTGATATCGGCCCCTCTCAAGTATGGGATGGGACACAGGTATCATATTTACTAAAAATGAAATAAACTCTTATGATGCCTCTGATGTGCAAACAGAATTGAGAATGAACTTGTAATAGTTTTCAATGTTACTTAGGGATTTCTCTGAGTCTTTACTATGTTACTGCATCATGACTTACTTGGAGAGGTATTTATTACACAGAATTTCTCAAGCTTATTTCACCACAGAGACTAGCTCAGGGAGCAGCAACTAAGACTTCCCAGAAGACAGTTTGGCAACGCCTGTTTATCCTACACTTTCTCCAGATGATCTTGACTATCTCTGATTTCAACCTATACTTACTTGCACTGTATAAAGTTGGTGGGTACACTGTGTGACCATGGATAAGGCTCTGCTAAAATCTTCTCCCCTGGAGACTAGGCTCTTGTTATGAATATATGCTCTCCACCCCTCCAACACTGCAGCTCCCAGAAGTTTCTCACCCTTAAGCTAGCCCACAGTCAACCTCCAGCAATTCATCAAAATTACTATTTAAGTATTCCTACAAGTTTATGGCTCCGGTGGATTTTTTTTTTTTAAAGATTTATTTATTTGATAGAGAGAGACACAGCGAGAGAGGGAACACAAGCAGGGGGAGTGGGAGAGGGAGAAGCAGGCTTCCCGCGGAGCATGGAGCCTGATGCGGGGCTCGATCCCAGGACCCTGGGATCATGACCTGAGCTGAAGGCAGATGCTTAATGACTGAGCCACCCAGGCGCCCCATGACTTCCACATTCTTTACATGTAGGAGCTGAAGCTGCAAGTCTATCAGAATAGGCTTCTTCTAGACCTCTGTAATGGTTGTGTCTACTTCACTAAGGGGTGCCTAGACAGCCGGTAAAACATTTCTGGGTATGTCTGTGAAGGTGTTTCCAGGAGAGATTAGCATTTGAACTGATAGACTGAGTAAAAAAGATCATTTTCACCTAAGTGGGTAGACATCGTCCAATCAACTGTGAGCCTGAATAGAAAAAAAGGCAGCAGAAGGGCAAGTTTCTCCTCTGCTTGAGCTGGGACATCCATCTTCTGCCCTGGGACATTGGTACTCCTGGTTCTTGGGCCTTCAGACTTGGACTGGGACTTAGACCATTGCCACCCGATTTTTGAGCCTTTGGACCCAAACTGGAATTTACACCATTAGTTCCTCTAGTTTTCAGGTCTTTGGACTCAGACTGAATTACATACACACCAGCTTCCCTGGATCTCCAGCTTGCAGACAGCACCATGGAACTTCGTGGCCTCCATGGTCACGTGAGCCAGTGGCCACTGATCCAACCTATTGGTTCTATTTTTCTGGAGAACCACTTGCTTTTTTTTTTTTTTTCTTTTTCTTTCCTTTAAATCATCTAGCCTTTCCGTTCTTAACTGTTGAACTATTCACCTTTAAAGTTATCGTTTTTGGGGTACATGCACCCTGATGTTTATAGCAGCATTATCAACAATAGGCAAACTATGGAGAGAGCCCAAATGTCCATCGACTGATGAATGGATAAAGATGTGGGGTGTGTGTGTATATATCTATATTATGAATATTATTCACCCATCAAAAAGAATGAAATCTTGGCATTTGCAACAACATGGATGGAACTAGAGAGTATAATGCTAAGAGAAATAAGTCAGAGAAAGACACCATTTGATCTCACTCATATGAGGAATTTAAGAAAGAAAACAGATGAACATTTGGGAAGGGGGTAAGGAAAAAGAGGAGAGAGGGAAACAAGCCATAAATAACTCTTAATGATAGAGAACCAATTCAGGGTTGATGGAGGGAGTGGGTGGGGGGATGGGCTAGATGGGTGATGGGTATTAAAGAGCGCATTTGCTGTGATGAGAAAAAAAGTTACTGTTTGTTTCCAACCTGGGCCCGGCAGAATACTCTCTCAAAGAAGGGTGGTGAGAAGAAGGGCTGTTCTATCAACGAGGTAGAGACTACACCATCAACATTCACAAGCATCCATGGAGTGGGTTTCAAGAAGCGTGCCCCTTGGGCACTCAGAGAAATCTGGGAATTTTCCATGAAGGAGATGGGAACTCAAGATGTGCCCATTGACACCAGGCTCAACAAAGCTGTCAGGACCAAAGGAATAAGGAATGTTCCATACCGTATCCATGTGTGATTATCCAAAAAAACCAGGATGAAGATTCACCAACAAGCTCTATGTTGTTTACCTATGTACCTGTCACCACTTTCAAAAATCTACAGATAATGTGGATGAGAACTAACTGCTGATTGTCAAATAAAGGTATAAAACTGCAAAAAAAAAAAAATGTTACTGTTTGATATAGTTGGATAAAAAATACTGTTTTGCTAGTTCTTTATTAGTTTCTTCCTTTTTCTGCCTCTAGTTTTATTATGTATTTAAAAAATAAAATTCATTTTATTTCCTCTACTTATTATCTATACTTCTTTTAAAGACATTTTTAGTCATTGCTATAGGGTTTACAGTGTACATATTTGAAAAATCTGAATCTACCCTCAACCTTTGTTCTGGAATGCAGTTAGGGTATTGGGAACTGAATCCTTCTGGATCTTGCTTTTTAGGATTTGTTGGGCAGAACCTTAGCAGGGTGTAGTCTGTGTCTAATTACTCCTCAAGACCCTTCTGCATATTACACCCATACTCTGAAACTGGTTTTCTGATTTGGTGGTGGGAACAGGCACTACTCCTGGCCTGGTTCAGGTCCAAGTACTGTTCCAAGTCTTGGATAGTTGCATCAAGCACATATGCTGGTCAATACTCTGCTAAATACCCAGGGCAAAGCTCCTGCGCATCTCTGGGTTTCACACTCTGTGCAGTTTTCCTCTCTCTAGCATACTCTGCTCTACAAATTCCAGTAAGCTTGGAATTTTCAGACTATCTACTCTTATCTTCTCAAATCAGGTAGTTGGTTTGGTTCCACCTGGTTTCTTCCAGCATGAAGCCTGAAACTCTTAAGGCAGGGATCACGGTCCTTATTTAAAAAATCTGATGTCCAGTGTCTTAAATTGTGGTTTCATACATTTTGTGCAGGTTTTTTTTTTTTTTTTGTTATTTCACGCAGAAGGGAAAATCGCACCCATGTTACTCCATCTTCAGAAGCAAAGTCCCTACAAAGATGTTTTAAGCAATTAGAAAAGGATTTTTCTCATGCTTGAATCATCTCTTTCCCTCTTGTTCTGAATCTGTTTTCACTAGACAACAGATTTTACTTAATTGGAATTCTTGAGTACCTTAAAACTTGTCATATTCTAAATTGTACAACTTAAATGTGTAATATACATTATCATAAAGTAACGCAGCTGTATGAGCAGAGAAATTCAAACAGATAGGTTAAATTTTGGCTTTTTTCCTAACCACTCTTGGTAATGTGGTTATATAAAATTATTTGTGGTCCTAAAACTCAAATTCTGTTTTAGGTACTGAGAATACATCAATGAAGGAAACAGACAAATCACTGTCCTCACAGAGCTTACATTCATTATTGTGGATATAATAGCTCACAATTACATAGCACTTACTATGTAACAGGCACCATGACACTATTCTATGTGTTTTAGACATATTAACTTACTGAATTCTCATAAAATTCTGTGAAGTATGTATTATTTTTACCATCGTTTTTCAAGAGGAACTAAGCACAGTTGTTGAAGTAACTTGCCTGAGACCACACAGCCACTAAGTAGTAGAATTGGGATTTGAACTCAGGGTCTGTGACCCTATAATCCTCTGTTTAATCACTGCAGCACCCAGGTTCGAGCTATCTTTTTATGTTGGTGAAGTATCTTTCCTTAGTCTTGAGTTATGTCTTTGTCCCCCTCATCTTAGACTGAGAGGTGGATTCAAGTTTTCTTCCTCCAGTGACTATCTCCTTCTAGTTCCTATAATTTGCTTTATTAAGTGTTGTTGCTTACATTTCATAACTGCTCATATTTTCATTATAGATTGCACCCACTTTTACAGTCTCTTACAGATTAAAATTTTGATGTTATCCACACTTCAGAGAATACCCTTTAATATTACAGTGTTTTGTCTTTCTTGAGTTTGGAACCGAATTCCAATTTTTCAGATGGTAAGATCAGAGTCCTTAGCTTTTAAAATTTTCATTTAGCTCTGCCCTCTTATTTTTAGCTTTATGAACTGCTTTTTTTAGAGTTACAGTAAAAAATAAATATATTGCATAGAGTTCAGTTTTGCTTTATGACCTAATTTGAAAATCCTCTTCTGTTAATAACTGGGGAAGTCTGTTTACATTTATTAATAGCCCAGCTATCTTTGTCCTGAATTCTGTCACACTGTAGTCGTATGTCTTCTGCTCTTATTTAAATCTTTATACATATATCTACTTTTTAAATAGTTCTGAAATTTAAGAAAGTTGTCCTCTATTTTTGTCCTAGTAGTTTCTCTCATTAATAATTTTACATGATATCCTTAAACCTGTTTTAAAAAGCAGTTTTGTTAATCTTCTATTGTGGGAGTCCCTTATGCTCAACTCCCACATTAAATAAATCATCAGGTTATGTTAATGGCACCCTCCTAAAATATCTTGAAATTATTCCCTGCTACAATCTTAGGCCAAAGCACTATTGCTTCTCCTTGGAATAGAGGAACAGCCTCATAAATGGCCACCCTGCCTCTGTTCTTATCCACTGGTGTATGTCCACCCTTATGCATCATCTAGTGTGACCTTTAAAACAGGTAAGTTTTATCTTGTTAAGAAGCTTTCTAAAAACTCTGAATAAAATCTTCTATTTTTAGAACAAAAAAAAATCTGTTTTTTCTCTTTTTGGATTCATGCTTACTTCCCTGATGTCATTTCCTACCTCTCCTCACTGTACCTCCTTGTCACTTTGGCTTCCTTTCAGCTCTTCAGGTACACCATGAATGGTCTCAACTCATGGGTTTTGCGTGTCTTTGCCTTTATCTGGACCTCTTTTTGCTTTTGATTACCTGGGTAACCCTTACCCTGATTCAGAGATCTTAGCCTAGGGGCCACTTTTTTTTTTTTTTTTTAAAGATTTATGTATTTGAGAAAGAGAGCGAGTGTGCCTGAGTGGCGGTAGGGGCAGAGGGAG